TCGCACTGCATAAACATAAACAAAGGTGAAGGGGAGGGAGATGATTCCCGTTACTTACGGGACTACGCTACCTTTATGGTGAGAAAAAGTCGAAAAAGGATTTTATTTATAATCGAATAGTTCAAACGCTTAAAAATAATAGTAAAATACAGTAAGGACTGAAAAACACACATATCAAATTTTTAATCAAAATAATATCTCATTCAACATTTACGTATAAAATAAAAAAAAAAAGAAAATACGTTGTGTCCAATGCCCTAATTTTCCAAGAAAAAAGAAACTGATCGTGTCCGTATAATTATTTTAACCGATACAAATTGTACTTATTCTTGGACGTTTCGAAAAAACACCATATGAAAAGAAGATCGTGCAAAAGAAACACGTAGCAAAATAAAAAAAAATGTATAATGAGAATGATTTCAATAAGTCATGGGCAAAAAAATGTTTATAAAATGTCAAACTTAAAATATTTTAACGAAGCGAACCTTGTAGTCAATTTGTCATTTTTATATCGGTATGTTAAATGTGCATGTTACGTGTATAGGGTGATACTAAATGTGAGAATTTGGGGATTCAAATGAGCAAAACTTATTTGACTTCCTCTCAGTAACACGCATTTAATTAGCACGAGGCTTCGTTACAGACAAAAGATACACGGTGTAATAATAGTAAATCAAAAGAACTCTAGGTGGCGCAGAAACAAATGGCGTTTTATTTTTAACACTAAAAACTGAGACAAGCTGTAGCAAGCGAAACAAATCATAAAGGAAAAGGTCGAATCTTCGTGTCCGCGCGTTGTTTACGTAATTATGTGTTCGTAATGGCCTATCGATCTTGAGCATTCATATCTATTACAACTACCGGTCGCGCATGTAAAGAGCAAAGCATCAGGTGTCCTAAAGAGGAAACGAGTCAAAGTATCGAAGCTTCTCGTCTCGTAAGAACCACTCTACCACTCTTATTTTATCTTGTTCGGGTCTTCGACTAGAAAAGAAGAAAAAACTACTTGGAAACGTGACTTCGTTACCTTCAACGCTTTCAACCATTCGCGCACATTGGACGCGAATCCAAAGGATAGAATACGAAGCATGCATAAAACAAAGGAAGACAATATTTTGTCCGTCTTGCGACAATGTTTCAGTCATATAGTTGAGCCTCGATAATTAGAAAACCTCTTTAAGGGGCCTCTCTACCTTGTGGGACTTTAAAAACCGAATTTTATTTTTTTTACGTTTTCTTTTAGTATGTAGTCTCGAAAATATATCTACCAAATATTAAATTGAAATTCTGAAAACTAACGAAGTTATAGCCTGCTGAAATGTACCGCGCGCAAGGATATATAATTGGACGTAAAACTTTAAGTTGCCTTTCTACTTTGTGGGATTAAAAAAATCGAATTTTATTTGCATTGTCTTTTAGTATGTAGTCTCGAAAATATATCTACCAAATATTAAATTGAAATTCTGAAAAACTAACGAAGTTATAACCTGCTGAAATGTACCGCGCGTAGGTATAACAACTGGACGTGAAACTTTAAAGCTGTTTTTCTCGAAACTACATTTTTCGGCACTGCGAATGTGATAACAGAAAAACTATTCAAGATATCAACAGGAAATTTATACAGTATCTTTAGAACTAGTCTCCCTATAGCATGAACTAGGATAATTGCGATATCTGCAATACTTTTTCTTTTATTAACAAAAAGGCAGCCGAATATATGAAAATATTCAGTATTTTTTCGTAAAATAGCTGCCATTTTGCCATTTTTTGTTCTTTTGAAAAGATCCTAGTTCATGCTATATCCACACTCATCTATATTAAGAATACCGTTGGTTTTTGGATTTCGGATAATTTGTTCGCAAGATATCACATACGCAGTCGGGCGCCGTTCGTAAAAACTGTTGTTTGTTGATCAACAAAAACAGCGTAATCAATAGATATTATGAGTAGCAAACATTCGTAAATATAGCTAAATATATAGTAAATGTATCTACAAAACACGGAATTAATTACTTTTTAATAGTCCGCAAAAAAAAATCACAAAAAAACATGTATTTTTCGTGCCTACAAGGTAGAATGGCCCCTTAAGGCGGTACTTCAGTCTAGAGGGATTTTTTGGGATAGTCTTTTGGGGATTCTTGTCACAAAAAAAGTATAAACTTTTTAGTTTCAATCAATTGGGTTTAAAATAAACTCAATTCTTTCTTTGAAAAAGGGTAATACATTTATAGCACTTTTAATTTTAATGCTACAGCCAGAGTTAATTTTAGTAAAAATTCTTGATACATTATTTTTTTGTTTTTCTTTCGTGCGAGAAACTTTCATCGCGTATTATCTTGCATTTTTTTGAAGTATGTAAAATGCTATTAGCCTTGCACATTATCTTTTTATAGAGATATTAGCTTGTTACAAATTACGGGGCTCATTATATGAGTGAGACGCGATTAAAGTATTTGACATATACAATATCATATTTGCGATGTAAGAAGACTCCATTGACAGTATTAATGTTATCGACGACGTTACGTGTTACCAAGATAAACAGACCTGTTCGCGCGTGTTGAACTTGAACAGACATATATAATGGACAATAAATAGATACCTGCGAGTGACTTTCAACGCAGAAATGTCCTCGGCCTACTTCCCTGCGCGAATAATGCTCAACTTTACGTTATCGGTTTTCATCTATGTTCACAGTCCTCGATTCCTCGCGAACGCGTTTCTCTTCTGCGGACGATACTCTTTTCACTTTTACCCATCATTCTCCAAGATCCATTTTTCGATTTTACGCCAATTCAAAGACAATCTAATTATTTTTCGAAGTTGGAATTTTTTTATTACTTTCGATGTATCCTGCTGTTGTATCAATTTGTAACATAAATAATTTCACGCATTTTGCAATTCCATATATTGTATTTAGATGGTATTGATCAATTAAAAATGTGACCGCACGGTTGACCGTAATTTTTAACATTGTTTACTATGAATTTAGACAAATTATTTTTAATTCACTGAATTTTTCTACAACTTTTTTAATTTGTCTACGACCTTGCTTTTATTTACAGAATTACTACTTTTATAACTGATTTCTTTAAATAAACTAAATTTAAAACAAAAGCAAACTAAAAATATACAACGAACAAAATTTAAAACAAAAGTAAACTAAAAATGTACAACGAACAAAATTTAAAACAAAATCAAACTAAAAATATACAACGAACCAAATATTGTTACGATGATAAGAACATTGTTGACGTTACATATTATTATAATAATCGTTTTAACCTTCTCGTCAACAACAAAACTTTACAGTTTTTCGTAATATTTCTAACTGCATTTGATATACAACTGAATAAAACCGCAGGATCCATAAACAGTATATTTAGACTTCTGTGGTTGGCTATAGATGAGATACTTAAATCAATGTTAGGACCATTACAATATAATTAGTACCATACACCTGATGAATATACCATTACTTGTTCGAACATAAGGATTAACGTAATGACTTGTTTATTAAATAACGATTTAATCAAGAGGTAACATTAAAATCACATAAAAACTTTTCCACGTTACTTGAACTTCGTAAAAATGGTACAATATATTTGTACGTGTTAAAAAATAGATAGATATGATTGTTTTTGAACCAAAAGATAAACTAGAAATTATTGAATTTTGAACAGAACCACATCTAACGTTGCCAAAAAGGACCAAATTTTTGGACAATATAGCACACATACACAAACCAACAAAAACTAGCTTTTTAATTTTTTCTATAATATATTCAGCATTGCTCTTACTACCTATTTAATATACAGGGTGCACCAAATAAAACATTACAAGCTGTTTTCTCAGAATCTAACAAAGATGTTGACTCCTTTTTTTTAACTAAATGATCCAGAGGCATCAGTTTCTTAATTCCTAACACATTTTTGAAAATACAATTATAGGGGGAAAAAGAATGCCACATTTTAAAAAACGGAAAGTGGCAATTATTTTTTGTTAATATCATAGCTCTCATCAAACTGAATAACATTTGCTTAAACCATATTTTTACTTTGTTTAATTACATGTTGACATATTGTAAATATTGATATGACTAAACAGTAACTATAAATGTTCTTAGTAATGTAAACAAATATCGATAAATTGGATTCTAGTAAAAATTAGATTAGAAAATTAGAAGGCCCGAAACTTAAAGATCGAAAACGTATATTTTTATTTCATAAGAAAGAACATTTTCTTGTTTCTCTTGAACATTATAATTTCGATGAAAAACCATCAAACAACTGCAGCGTACCAGATAGACTGTAAACGAAACCGTGTCACCACTTCTCAGATTTAATCGATCGAGCTAAAGGGTGTTGCTGCTATCTGTACGTATTTATCCAAAAATTTTAAAAAACGAATTTAATCTGTCATGACACCGTCAAGTAAGTAAATACTGACGCATTCGTTTACTCAAGAGAAGCAATTTGCTCGACAAAATTGTATCTATACGCGTTAAAACAACGTAGCAGAAAATAACATTGAAGCGTGCATTGGAATTCATGATTCATGTTAAAAAAAAATAGTGACTTACAAATTGGAAAGCTATCTTTCAAGACGCCTTTACGAACATTCTGCTAAAATGGAAACACCAACGGTGCAAAAGCCGCCGAGTAAAATATTCGATCGAACTAATTAGGGAAAATGAAACTTTACGAGCGTAATGACACCGCAGAGACGAAACTTAATCTCATTCACAATGTACGAAGCACCTGCCAATTTAAAGGTTAGTTCACTTGAAACATCAAACGAGCCGCGTGCGGCGCCTCGACTGTCAAACTGACAGCCGCCCGATATAACGTAATCATCGTTCATCGTACCCTTCTACCGCGGATACAAAGGAATCTCTGGTGCGGTCGTTCGTCGTTTGTTACGAATCCGCGGAAATGCGAGCCATGTCGCTCGCGCATCTATGTGCAAACGCGTACGTAAAACCGTAGACGATTACTTACTGATGAACAGACACACGAAGTCTATGATGATCTTTCGCAGAATTCTCTTCGACGATCGATCCATGATGATTTTTAAATCACAGTCAATCCTGAGGCTCTTTTAAATAGGGAATGATAACCGACGGACCGGTCCGTGCACGATTCCAAGATGAGGACCACGCACACCGAGAATGCTTACGCGTCGTTGTCGAGAAAAAAAACTAGGAAAACGAGCATCTCTCTCGCCCGGAGGTTCGGAATCAACTGAAAGACGCTTGGCCCACTCCTCGCGAATCTACGTACAAACGAAACAAACGACCGACCCGATCGAGATCCGAGCGAAGACTGCGACTGCGGCTGCGCCTCCGTCTGGTTCTTTCGCTGCGCACACTACGCACGTGCCCACTCGGCCTGCGTCGCGGTTCGTACGTATAATAGTTTAATAATGGGTGCTCGTTCTAATATAAAATAAAGATCGAACGTATAGTTTTTCCATAAAACATGAATGAATATCACCTTTTCTATTATTACACTATTTCTTACAACGGGCATTCTTTATTTTTGTATGAATCTTGAGAGACATACTGTGGACGAAATTTCTGTAAGAACGCTAAGTAAAACTCCATTTATTGGGATAAAAATTTATTGTTTGAATCGCTGTCGAGCGTCACTTTAATTATACGAACATTCTCCGCGAACGAATACATATGTAAACAAAACATATTTATGCTCCGTTGTATTGGGTTGTTCAGAAAGTAATTTCGTTTTTCTCCTTCGTGAAAAGGAACAATTTTCTTATAATATATAAATATTTTATTGAATTGAGTACTGGTCATTTTGGTCCAACATCTTTTGCTATCTTTCTGGTAGTAGTATGATTCCACGCTCATAATATTTCTGATCTTTATTTATAAAAAACTGATGCAAGCGATTTTTAACATCGTCGTTTTATCGTTTAAGAAATTTTTTAAAGACCGGAACAAGCAATAATCCTTGGTTTGAAACGAAACCAAGTCGTTTCATGTGATCACAAATTTAACCTTTTAACAATTTCTCGTGTTGTTATTCGTCGGTTTGCTTCAACCAATACCTTCATTTCGCTTTTGCCGGCTTTAACTGACCTTCTAGAACGTGGACCACCTTCGATATCAAAATTGCAGGAACAAAATTTTTTGACACTGCCATTTTGTTAACACATCTTCTCCATACACGTCACACAATTTTATTCTTGCTTGAGCAGCATTCTTACCTTTTCGATAATAAGAAAGCAAAATATGCCGAAAATGCAGCTTCTGATTTTCCATATTTCACGGGACACCAAAGGAATACAATTGCACAGAAACAAACAAAATGTTTTACAGACAAGCCTCGAAGTGTCAGCTGTGAAAATATATAATGAAAATACGGTTACGAATAAAGTTGGCTGGTTAAAAATACTATTAACGTCTCGGTTGGTAAGAAAACGAAACTACTTTCCGAACAACCGAATAGTAGTCGTCGATCTTAGCTGGATATATTGGCAACCTCCATTGCTTAAATACAGTTAATAAATTGGGAAATAGACTCACCTACTGTCAATTGAACTTTATACCTCAAATGCTGCAATCGTAATATTTCGCTATAACAATTTTTGCATATATGTGTCACGTGTGATTGTAGAAACTGAACAGAGCAATTACTAGATCTATTAATCATGTTTGTTATTTCTCGAATGGAGAATCCTGCATCGTAATGCGCATGTATTTTTATTTCCTCCTCAGAACATGATGCAAGACGAATTATTTGAAATATTATTATGTGAATGTTATAAAATTTTAAATTTCAATTATAATACTCTTTCTGAGGTACAGATAATTATACTATTCTTATATGAAATTCGATTTTATCCCGGTCAGTATTTTAATATAACTATTTCTAAAGTGAGAACACTAAGTTCTTTTTACATACACTTTTATACACATTTTTTACATACTAATATATATTTAGAAAATATATCAATTTTTGGCAGAAAATCATGGTGTGCTTATAAAAATGTCGTCCATTGTAAGGCAAAGAACCTACTTACATTAACCAGGTATTGTCACCCTAAACTGCTTTTCCTTAAAATACCGAAAAAACTTTATAAAGTTATACAAACAAAACCTTTAACATACCCTCACAAATGCAATTAACATTGTCTAATTTTTAATTAATATCGCCATCGTTGTCGAATCAGCTCCTACTCCAAACGTGAGTCATTGCTTGAAAAAATGATGCAATGACTAGACTCTACACTGAATAAATTATAGTTTTAATTGTAGAAATATAGGTTTTTTTAAACAACATTGACGACATTAGTGATCTTATGTAGGTGACGTAGGTTCTTTACTACATTGATTGCTCTTAGTTAATAAAATTATTATTTTACCTGCGAAAACTAACTAACTTACCAAGTAACTAACTAACTAACTAACGAACTAACGAACTAACGAACTAACGAACTAACGAACTAACGAACTAACGAACTAACGAACTAACGAACTAACGAACTAACGAACTAACGAACTAACGAACTAACGAACTAACGAACTAACGAACTAACGAACTAACGAACTAACGAACTAACGAACTAACGAACTAACGAACTAACGAACTAACGAACTAACGAACTAACGAACTAACGAACTAACGAACTAACGAACTAACGAACTAACGAACTAACGAACTAACGAACTAACGAACTAACGAACTAACGAACTAACGAACTAACGAACTAACGAACTAACGAACTAACGAACTAACGAACTAACGAACTAACGAACTAACAAACTAACTTACTGTCAAGCTAACTAACTAACTAATTAACTAACTAAGAAACTAACTGCAAACTAACTAACTAACTGACAAACTAATTAAATAACTAGCAAACTAACTAACTAAGTAACTAACTAACAAACTAACTAACAAACTTGGTCCGTTAGTTAGTTAGTTAGTTAGTTACTTTTTAGTTAGTTATTTAGTTAGTTAGTTAGTTAGTTTGTTAGTTAATTAGTTTGCAGTTAGTTAGTTAGTTAGTTATTTAGTTAGTTAGTTAGTTTACAGTTAGTTTGTTAGTTAATTAGTTAGTTAGTTAGTTAATTTGTGAGTTAGTTAGTTTGCAGTCAGTTAGTTAGTTAGTTTGTTAGCTAGCTTTTAGTTAGTTCTTTCCTTTGAAAATAATCTCTTATCTGTGTCTGTCATATTATCTTTGATTTTAAGTTTCATGAAATTAATACAAATACGAATAGAAAAGAAAGATTTCGAAAATGGTAAAATTAAACAATCTTTTTTGAAGATTTGAATACATTGAAAAAACATAATTAAATCGATAATAATCTTCTTTATTAGGCATTTAAAACAATTTCTTTTAGTATTTGAAAGAATGAGTCTCCTTGAAAATGTAGCATTTACTAATGGCATAATGAAAGCTGATAAATATATCAGTACGTTGCGTAACAATTTGTCAAGTAGTTCAGTGAGATTAGGAATAAGCAAATCTACCGATTTTACAGCGAATTAATAATCGTAAACACATTTGCATAGAGCACAAGGATGACAACTTTATAATGCTGAAAGAGTAACTTATAATGCCTCCACGATTGCCAGATACAAATCTAATCGAAAAATCTGTGATATGTGCTCGACTTGCAGAAAATGTGCTTCGACTAATAAACCTACCCAACTGATACTCACTGATTTGAATGAAATTTGACGTACTTATTAAACACCGAAAAATATTAAATACGTGTTTTTTTGTTTCGGCTAAATACGCTTTTTAGGGGTAAAAAGTACCCCGCAACCTCTGGAGATGGAAACGTTTGTGGCTAATTATTTCTTAAAGGTTACAGTTTCTGTAAAAAGTACTAGATCCAGAGTTGTACAGTTTAAAGTGATACACTTGATGGCGTTCTTGAAATCGACCTTGAGGTCGATTTTCAAGGTCATTTGAAAATCATTTCGTTTATCAAAGGGAGTATTTTGCTTTTCACCCCGAGAATCGATAGAGCGTAAAATTTTACATTCATTGCCAGAGCGTTGGTGGTTTGTAAATGAAACAAGCTTCTGTAATTTAAAATTGTTTATTGATTCAACCAATTAAGGCAAGAGTAGTAATAATTCGATCAATAAAGAAATTAAAAGTTGATTATTCATTCAAATAAGGTAAGATGTGTGATCGAGATCCAGCCAGTGAAGGCGACTTCATAATTTCTTTTCACATATGTATGTCTATGAATATAAATTCCATGGTAATTGGCATTATTCTTTATATTCATGACAATAATGAGGAATAGCTGTATCTTCTGTGGCAAAAAAATGCTCCATACACAGAGAGTTAGTACACCACGCACATTTTATTACTGCAATGTTATTGCAGATTTTGCAGACTGTACCGCAATTCTTTAAACAGAAATCGACAGGCGTTTCACATCTATTTGGTTTTTCTTGAATATATCCACTTTTCCACCAGGCATATTTAATCATGTTTTGGAATCGGGGTGACGAAAATTGAGTGTGGATTAATGATTGAATTTTGAGGATGTTATTCCTCAAATGTAGGTTAATATTATAATTGTATAAGAGAATTAAGTCCGATAATTGTTTCAGGAAGTTTTTCCACGGTCTGAATACGTAGACATCCAATGGTTGAATGAAGCCAGTTGTTCCCGCAGGAATTGTAAGGATTTTTACTTCTTTATTATCCTTGTCTATATTTTCAAATTATATTTTCATTCTGGAAAAATTATTTTCGGTTGCGGGGATCAATTACAATAATTTTTGGTGAATGGACATATCCCCGAAATCTTGCGCATTTTCGAGAAAAAAATTCAGTACGAGCGGAACTTTAAACGTTAATAACTTTTTAACGAAGCCTCCATAAACAAATTGGTATTCTTGATTTTCGTCTTATGATGGCCTCTACTATCGCTCATTAAAATTTTTACTATAGGTAGCCGAACACCCTGTATAGTAACCTCCCCCTTTTCGAAATCTGTTAAAAAAAAATGAAAATTTCTAATATAGCATGAATGTAACGTTCAATTTACAATTAGAGTGACATTTCATGTTTTCTTATCTTTACTTCTATTCCGAAGTTACTTACAAAACTTTTTTTCTCCTTCATATTTTTTCTATAAATTTGAGCCTATTTTCCCATACCGTCTGATTGTTCCTTTTTTGGGAAAATAACGCAACAAATCAATTCTGAAGACAGATTAGAGTCATCGCATAAAATTACTGATTATAAATACAGGATGCGTTCAAGGTCCGGCAACTGCTAAATCCGGTCAGTCCGACTTATTATTTCCAAATTTAATTGACCTTGAAAATCGACTTGAAGG